GCCGGTGTTTGAGTTGAAATCATTAAAAAAAATATGGCATTTTACTTTGCATGGACGCATTCTGGCAGCTGGCACATCAGAATTAAAAAAATCAAAGTTATTGACTGCTCAATCGTAAATAGAGCCTTAATCGATGATTTCAATCACAAATCATTTTTTATGCGATACACTCTTCAAAAAAACCGATACGATTGCGAATCGCCAATGTTCTCATACTTTTTCCTTGAATTTAAGTCGAACGTTGATTTCGAACAATCTGGACATTTGGAAAACATTTTGACGAAATTACGTTGAATATGATAAGAAAAGCATATTTAAAAAAAATCTCTCAAATGACTTCGAGTAAAAATATTGCTGCCATCTGTTTTTAATCCTGGAAAAAAAGTGTATCATCTGCTCGTCGTTTTGATAAAAAAAAATCTCATTTTTCCCAATTCTTCGCATTGTCTCGTTTCCACGCATCGTCGAAATAGTAAACTTGCTTTCGTTTCAGGATATCTCACAGTAAGAGAGAGAGTAAGAGATTTGTGTGTGTTTTTTTGCCGTTCCTTTTTGTGCTTCGTTTTCTATACATTTTCTATTTTGAGGCGTCTTTCATACAAATACGATTTGCCGTATGCAGAGCTATCCATATGCTGTTCAACAGCTCTATGTTCCTTGATCCTCTTTTAAGGCATCAGTGACACACATTCCCTATATATGAAATCGATGGTCTATTTAACCAACAAAAAAACCGATTGCATAAAAACCGTCTTAGAAAAAAAATAATAATCAAACGAATGGAAAGGGTTGCGACATTGAGAAATGAGCATAAAATTCTTTCAAACCTATCGAACAGCTGTAGTAAGTAGCTAAGAAAATATTCTTTTTATTGAAAAATATACGATCAAATACAAAAACTGTTCTTGAATGCATGTTTTTGGAGCGAAGCAGTCTTTTCAACACTTTGTGTGTGGCGTCGTTGTTTTTTGAAAATTCGATAAGATTTTTCCTTATGTTTTTGATCAGATAAAGAAAAACTTACCAGTTTCAGGGTGCATTCAGTGTATTCAGTTCCAGGGTGCATAAAAGTGGATATGATGGAAAATTTTCATTGAAAAAAGGTGAAAATTAAAAATTCTGACGTAGAAATCGTTTAACCCATTAATTACCGGGATTCTTATTTTGTTTTCAAATTGCGAATTTCAAATATTATCAATTTTAGTCTTAAAGCTAAGTACACAGTTCCTCGTGAAATGAAAAAATTTCTCCGGTGAAATTGTCACAGGTGATATTTGTATGATGTTTTTTATTTTTGAATTGCAAGCATAATGATTTTTGATGTATAAAACAGTTAACTCCCTTCAATATCAACACAACACATGAACAAATTTGAATTTTGAATTCATTCTTTAATGTATTTTGATCTTTCTTATTTTTTCACGACCGTGAAAAAAATTTGTTCAGACAAAACACATAGAAGAATGAACTCAAAAACGAACTTTGTTCATGTGTCGTGTTGACATTGGAATAAGTTAGCTGTTTTATACATCAAAAATCATTATGCTTGCAATTCAAAAATAAAAAACACCATACGAATATCACCTGTGAAAATTTCAGCAGAGAAATTTTTTAATTTCACGAGGAACTGTGTACTTAGCTTAAAATAACAGTAGACTTCGAAAATCGTGAGATATGAGTCCCATTTATCTTTAACAGCGATAGAAAAATTGAAAATTCAGTATAAATTTGTAGAATTTCTTAGGGGATTTTTTTTCCAAAATTTCTGGTTTCATTCGATGATCGATCCGACCAATTTGAAATGTTTCTATTGTTTTTTTAATATTCTCATTGGGAAGTATGAATTTCTAACTTTATTTTAGAACAAAAAATTAATCGAATTCCCCATCGGGAGAGGGAGATAGACCCTGAGAAAAATATCGAAAGTCACTGGTCGAAAAATCGACCACTGGTAGTTAATGAGATAATAAAAATGATCAATCATTACATCTTACTTCGCAATTTTATCCAGCAATTCCCATGAATATTCATTGAGGTTTGAAAAGGCTCCGTGACGCTAGCACTGTCTAGTGGCTGAGCACTGATCGTCAATATTTTTGAAAAAGTAGATTTTCGGTACATTCCCATGGCAAGTACATGAAATCGAATTTTTTTCGTATCAATGTAGCTCTATGACTCCTGTTCGGAAAAGTGAATCACTGTTTTACAATTGAGTCATGAAGTGAGTCACAATATAATATTTTTGGAGTAGGAATTGTGGGGAGCGGGCAGAAATTAGAGTGCCTCTAGATCTTTCATTATCAGCCCTTGGATCATAAAAATGTTCAAAATTTAGTTTGGAATTAATTTTTGGGGCAAAACCTTCGAAAATGCGAAAAATCGATTTTCATGGATTTTTTCGAAACTTTGGGCAATTACTGCTCGCTCCGCAGAATTTCTGCTGCAACCGGTGACGAGCAGTAATTGCCCCCACCCCCCCCCCCCCCCCCCCCCCCCCCCCGCCTCCCCCCCCCCCCCCGGGGGCGCCCGTCTAGCGTCACGGAGCTGTTTGAAAAAGAGTGTTATCTTTCACATTTAGATACGTGAGCGTAAAAAGAAAAACGTAATTTGTGGTGCTGATTTTTTTTTTGTACATTTTTATTGAATCTTCGAACCTTGTTATTATTGATATTATGTCGTATCAGACGAAACGAAATGACAATTTGTGACTATCTTATTTGATACATTTAAGTTTACATTGAATAAAATCTTCCACTGGCCGGGAATAAATTATTGATTACATTTCATAAGTTACATGTTACACGTTTGAACAATTTTGATGTGCAACCAATATCTAATTTAAACAGTGATAAATAGATACGATCAGTTTCTGCCTTCAAAATCACAATTATAACTATGCTATAGTAAGTAATTGTTGTTAAAGGGGTTGAAATTATTGCGGTTTTCGAGTGCTATATAATACAAAAGAAATCGAGACAAAGTGGTGCAAATATTTGAGAATAGCAAATATTCTGACATCATATGTTTTTTACTTAGTTGTAAGAGTTATGAAGATCATGCCAAATACGAATAAATGCATTGAATAGGCTGAAAAGATCAAACACAATGATGATTTGTGATTAAATTGAATAAAAATATAAATGAGAAAACAATATAATTCACCTCGTAAAATCTTTCCAAATTCAGAGTGATCATGCCAAATCCACGATAGTGAAGCGGTCTCTGCGCATTCTGGATCACGAGAACGATGTACTTCTGCAGCTTGATGGCGAATATGTGCCAGTCGATTTCGTGGAGACAGTCAGCCATGTCCGTAAAACTTTCCGAGGCCAGTTTTCCAAAGTAACAGTACAAAAAAAGGATTGAAACGCCTGAAAATGCACCCATTACGAAAACATATATCTCCAAGTCAATGTGTTTATGTTGCTAGTAGTGATGAAGATAATGGTAGATCTTTTAGGTGACTGTATAATGTATAATGCATATAAAAATTCTTGTTATGAATTGTGTAAAACAGTGTGTTTACCAGATATAATCGAAAAACAGCAACGGCTAAAGCATATTGCAAATGAGCTGAATCATAATAATCAAGGGGTTGAAAACCGGCATTAGCTGCATGAAAAATCTATAAAAAGTACATCAATGCCTTTTATAACTATTTTCATTGTTGAAAAAAATAATCATGGCTCTACTCACTCTCTGGCCATATTTTGAAAATCAATTGGCTTGCGTAGAGTTTCCTCATTATTTCGATTTTCGTCCGGTCCGTTGAATTTATACGCAGAGTGTCGATATATTTTGGAAAACGATTGAAGAATCCAAGTAAGTGAAATGAAGAGCATCAGAACTGCACCATTCAAATAAAAATGAACTCCAGCAAAGATGAAAATTAGAAAATGTTCGGCAATGTATCCAATGAGAGTTTCCTGATTCCACGGTAAACTGCGAAAATAAATTGCGTTTATGAAGGAATGCCTCGGTGCTGTTGATTTGATTTAACTCACATGAGTTTTAAAGCGTGAAACACATATTTTGCATCAAACCGTTCATGTATATATCAACAAATGAAAATTGAGGATACGGATACAAATGGAAGTCATCAAAATGGCACATTTGATATATATTTTCCAAGACCGTTGACTTTTATTGTTGGCTTCCACCAAATATTGAAAGGAATCTTCATCCTCATACTCATCTGATTTGGAACAAAATAGAAATGAAAGCAAAACTAACGAAAATATTTGAGCTGTAGCAACGATCATAAAATATATGCATTTTATCAAGTTTATCAAGCTCTTTCCAAGTTTATGCATAGTGTCGAACCTTTGTTCAAGCTCTACTATCTAAATCATTTTTTTACACTTATATATTATTTGCAATTGATCATTCAAGATCACCAAATCAATTCAAGCGAAATCTGTTCCTGTTTAAAACACACAAATAAAATCCACAAATCTATTATTGAGACGTAAAAGAACGCAAGTTCAAGGTCCAACTTCGTAGCAATAAAGAGAAGTATGTTTCATTGCAACTAATAATGGTTAAAAGAATATATGTTCGTTTTTAGCGGGTCCTCGCGGTTTTTCACGGTTATCGCGGAGCTGATAAGAGATAACAACTTAGTGTCTTCGGCAAAGTTGTAGCACTCGAGGTCTTCTATAACATTGCTGAACTCAGTTTTCTCTTATCAGTTCCGCGAAAAGCGCGAAAAATGATTCGAAAAAACAAGTTCTATATAAAATTTGCTTTTTTATGTGCGCGATTCGCGCGCAACTGATAAGAGAAAAGAGATAGATGTCTTCAGCAATGTTATAGAAGACCTCAAGTACTAAAACTTTGCCGAAGACACCAAGTTGTTATCTCTTATCAGTTTCGCGGAAACCGTGAAAACCCGCGGAGGCTAGACGGGATGCCACCATATTTCCTTTTAACGCAGATAAAATCAACAGAAAACATACTTTCCTTTTCAAAAATATAAATCGACAAAAAAACATACATTCTTTTACGTCTCACGAATAGAAATGTAATTCCCATAATAACAAATTCGTTTTATTTTATTGAATTTTTGAATAACAAATACATAATACAAGCTAAAAGTGTCTTTTTGTTCCATTTAACTCCATTTTGAATGGTCATATAACCTAAACATTACTACAAGTCTGTCTTATAACAAAAATGAAATGAAATTTTATAAAGAGAAAAAAAAACTCAAGAATTTCAACATTTCTCATGATCTTCAGTCTGAACAGAGGTGTCAATAACATTGGCGGTACTGTTTACATTGTTGGCTGTGTCTTCATTTACGATTTCCCATGCGTTATCATCCGCGACCAATTGATCTCCTTTCAGTACGACGTGCACAGTCCTGAAATGAGAACAGTTTTGGAGAAGACATTGAAATTTATGTTATAAAAATTGTTAACGAATTTTTTCTTCTGTTGAAATGTTAAACCACACTTACAGCATCAGGAAGAATAGAATCATTTGCGTTATGAACGTAAGAATATAGATTCCTGGATATGAGTTAACTGTCCAATTATACACTTGAGTGTATAATATCGAACTGATTAACGGCACAGCGTTATCGCAAGCGGAAAGAACAGCAAACACTTTGCCGCGCTCAGAAGATGGAACCACTTTAGAGGTCATAGATCGTAGAATTGGTCCACCAACAGGACCCATACTGGAAATAGCTGCACCGACATAAAAAATTTCCGGAATTTCAGCAAGTGTGAAAAAAATCCGAGCTGTTGCAAAACAATAGGCACCAACCATCGCAATGGTCGTGTCCCTGAATTCAAGTAGCTTCGTCATGATTGGAATTCCACAAAATACCATCAAAATTTGCGTTGACGATTGAAACACTTTGAACGTACTGAATTCGGCAGTTTGCCAACCGAATTTACTTCCAGTGTAAAGGTACGTGTAGTTTCGTTCATCGCGTTGAAACGTATAGAAAAACATGGCAACGAGGAATATCCAAAGGAACATTCGACGATGATTTGATCGTTTTTTCGTCAGAGTGCTCACAGTATCGACAATATGCTTTTTATCGAAAAAGTCTCCAAGAATTCCATTGCATCCCACTTCTGTGATGGATCTTTGCCTCGAAGATGTACTCCACTATTTAGAAAGTAAATACGACCGTTTTGTTATATTTACCAAAACCGTTTGAATAAATTATTATTTTTTCTGCGTGGTAACGAATTCTCATGGGATACATACCTTTAAATTAAAAATCGAATAAAGAAAAGCTGCCATCAAAAATACCGCATTAATACTGAACATAATGAAGTACGAATGATCCAACACAACATTAAACAGATATGAACCTGAGAAGAATATGAGAATTAAACAATGCGCCAAACAAATGAACTTATACCTTGAAACGATGAAGCCGATACCTAGAGCGATCCCTGTCGGGAAAGTTATCAAGTAACACACCTCGAGAATTGTAACGCGCAAAGTTCGATTTTCCACACTCGACACATCCGATATGTATGCAAAGGCCGATGCAAATATTGCAATATCTACACCTGTTAAGGCACTCGGCAATGTAGCCGTGTAAATTATATACTCCACCGGCCATTTGTCTGTGTTGAAGAAAAAAAAATATTGCAAGCTCATCAACAATACCAAGCACGTTGACTGGTTAAGTGTCATTTTACCGTTGTAAATGTTCAACAATAGTCCCAGCACATAAATTAATTTCCCTGTTAATCCAATGAGCAATGGAATTTTTCGACCGCGTCTATCCGACCATGAGCCGATGAAAAGTGCAATAACGATAGTAAAAATATAACCAGCGATATGGTTCCATTGATGAAACGTCGACACTGTTATCTGTAAATTAATAGGGGAAAGTTCAACAGCACCCAAAATAAATGATAGGCACAATTATGCTACATACTTGTACTTCTTTGTAGAATGTGTCCGTGTAGTTTTTGAGATTATCACAAATTTCTTCGGTGAAATTATGATTGACCAGACAGGCTTTCTTCACGAATAGATCCTGTTCGACGACTGAGGTCAATTGGAATGCAAACATGTACAGGAACATCGTCGGTTCGACGGTAATATAACGAAACCATGACCAGCACCATGGTTGTTGCTCAACAGTAATGGTCGGATTCATGCTGTATTCAAGAGAAATAAATTTTTATTGTTTCCAAATGCAGTATTCTCACCCACTTAATCACTGTTGATAACAATTTTACTAATTAAAAGTACAAAGAACGTTTGAGACAAAGTAAATACTTCTCGAAAAATCGTAGAAAACCATAAATCATTTATCTATCATGAATGTTGTTTTTTCTAAATTTTTCGGTACAAAGATTATATTTTATCGACAATAAAGACCATCTTAACTCTTTTTCTGTATTTTGTTACTTCTAATGAAAACAAATGCACACAAACTCACATTACAATGTATGCGCACTTCACCGCACAACTTTCGCTATCAAATTCCAATTATTCACTGCTCATGGACGATTTTAATTCACAAATTATGGCTGCAACACAATTTTAAGTTTTCTCTGTCAATCGATGTGGATTTTTTTTTATAACTTGTTGATTGCATTATCAGACACTTTTTTTTACATTGTGGCACAAATCAGTGCGATTTCAATGTCGATATTGTTTATTAAGACTAATATCATCAATGAACGTGCACTTATGAATGAAATGTGATAGTGTATGTGTTACGTGTCTCGTGTTCACAGTTTTCCGTTCCGTTGTTTTCATTCATTTAAACGCTAAAGATTGAGACTCTATTGGAGGTCTGGATGCTGATTTCAAGCTGGAATACAACTTAATTATGTATTCCAAGCTTTATTTATTAAAATCAAACACAAATATATACACATGATGCAAGAGCGAGATTTTATTTTGAAAACACGCACACCAAAAGCACAAAGCTGTCAAACGCACAGAGAAATGACTTTTTGACATGTGCGTTCACTGATAATTGCTTACCCATTTTTGTAAACGATGTAGAGGGCGACTCTTTGATATTTCACTTGATTTTGTGGAAGAATTGAGCGGGATTTTTGCATTTTAGCAGCAGAATATCAACATTCAATGAAATCAAAAGCGATAGTTTGGATTTTGAATTTGAAGAAAATGGACAATGATTGTCATGTGAAAAAGCTGTAACTAACACATTTTCCATCTCTTTATGATAAAGAATTATTATGAAAAAGACTTTATCCATTCAAAGTAGATCCAATTGCTCAAAATAGAATAATGATAATGCATGGCTTTATGTATCTAATCAAATTTCCAAGAAATAATTTACTTTATTCTTAAATGTGTGTTTTTTCAGCAGTATTTTCTTTTATGATTTCAATGACAAAGGGAAAAATCTTCGAATAATAATGAGATTTAAAGGCAAATTGAAAAAAAAGTGAGCAAATTATTTGTCTCATAGAAAAAAGAGCCATGAAAAAAGTATCTAATAAAACTTAAAGCCTACAACGACTTATTTTACATTTTCAATGTAACTAATTTGTAATTCGTATTCCAAAAAGTTGAAAGTTCCAAAATTCACTTGAATGTGTTTTGTGTTTTTTTCAGTTGTTGTTGTTGTTTGTTTGTTTGTGTTTTTCCCTAATCATTATACATCGGTCCAAAAATTGCATTCTGCTATCGTTAAATACAATTAATCTTTATCCCCTATATGATACATCATGGTTCGCTGAATCGATATAAATTATATAATTTAAACAAAAAATCAAATAAATTAACCGAAAAAATATATTCTCAACAAAAAAAACCCTACTGTTCAAAGAAAAATATGTTCGAATTCAGCTCAACAGCTGAAAAAGGTTCGGTTTGCAATGAAAAACGAATGTATTCTAATTTGATCGATATAGAATCGATGAAGTGAGTTTTGTGGTGAGGCTTCCTGTCAACATTTCTCAATCCATTGACAAATCTTAATTTAAATGAGGCACATTTGTTGCAGTCGTTCGTCGTCGCGCTCCCCGTCCAGTCAGCAAATATGACAAGTCAAGCGGTTGAATATCCTCGTTCAACGCTCGCTGTTTATCCATCAAATGGCCCAAGAATTGTTCCAATCGTGTTCGTCTCTCGTTTATGGTCTGAAAGCATAAAAAATTGATGTTGATGTTAAATTGGAATGAAAAAAAGGCGATTTGTTCTAATGGTCGATATGATTGGATCATATTCTTACTTTTTGTGGTGGTGGCATCAGCTGAACTATTGGCATTGATGGCTTTTTCGCCGGTTGACTTGAAATTTCATCGGGATTTCGACGTTTCTTCAAAACTGGTTTTACCGCTGTCTGACCCACTTCGTGTGGCTGTGGAAGAAGATTGATACAATTTTATGAGGAGCCTCTAACAAATTTAAATTTCATATGTCAACTTACCAAAAAGCTGCGTGTTATCTTTAGCCGCTGCCGGAATTTCTTGAATGCATAGCTTTTGGTGCATACTGGGTATGGATTTTTGGATATTTTCGAGAATAATCTCGCCGCTTTGTCGACACGCAATTCACAGATGTACACATGTGATTCGATGCTATCCACTGGACGCCCTTTGCAAAATGTATTCAAATCCATGACCCAACAACGGCCCATAATCAATTCGATCGGCACCACTTCATATAGCGGAACACGAACCACTTCATTTTGGTAGAATTTACGTGTTGGCTCGTGATACGTTTCATGTGGTCGCAAATAGTGATGGCCATAGATGAAGCGACGACCATCGTGATCCTTCCACATGCGTTCCACACGGAATATGTCGCATTCATTGTGATCAATATCGCCGATTGTTTCGTATGTATGCTTTTGCGCTTTGGTTTTGTCGCCATCCGTTGATCCTTCGATTGGAATGTCGCGCAGCACATAAACCGTGTCTGACTGCCGAATTTGAAGATCATTTCCACGCATCAGTGACAAATAGTACGGGTAACCTTCTTCGGTTTTATCCTTCAATGGAATTTCATAGTGAACTTCACGTGGCACACACTTTTCGCAGTAATAGTCATCCGCCTTTGTATCGGCACCCGTACATTCGGCATGCTGCCATATTTTGCATTTTGAACACTGAATCATAACTCCCTCATCGCGGAACAAACCACAAATGCATCGAATATGATCTTCATTCGGATCTTCAACTGAGCACAAAAATGGACCCGACTGTGTCTCTAGCAATGTGCTCAATTCAGGCGATTCGCCGCAAATTGCCACCAATTTACTGTACAAATCGGTCTTCTTTCGCGCGTACACAGTTTGCAATTGCATTGTGATTGTTGCTTCCGGTGATTCATTTCCGTAGTACTTAATGGCATTTTCAAATAGGCGATTCACGTCGGCATCGAACAAAGCCGGTCGGTCATATATTCCTTTTTCGACATTTGCCTCAATGGTCGATAAATCAATCGGTTTTGCTATCTTTTCGTAATACTGAGGATTCTTTTTCTTTGACGGTAGATTAAATTTTGTAATGGCATACTGACCCGAAGCATCTGGAATGAAGAACCAAAATGTTGACAATTCATTTTTTTACACAAAGTTGTATGATTATTCTATTGTGAACAACGGACAGCATTTTGATTGGCTTACCTTTAAAACTGTTCAATTCTTCACAAATTTCACGTAGAATACCAGCAATTCGAACTGTTTTTTCAACGACTGGATCATGTTCGGCAATGGTTACGCCCCTAGTTCGAATATTACGTGGAACACGCAACGCAGAGATTTTAGCCGTTAATGACGTTTGTAGATTGTTTGAATAGGTCTGTGTTTGTGTGTGTGTGATTTTCAAGTTTGCATTACGAATCTATAAGAAAGAGTGGAAAAGTTATTGAATCATAATCCATGGAACAAAGTACACCAAACGAAATGTGCAGCAAATGGAACGATTTTGAATACCTTTTTCAAATTTCGCAACAAGAAGCAATGACCTTCGACAGCAAGGGACTGTTCTTTTGCACTCGGCAGTTGGAAATGTGAGCGTCGTGCTTTTGAATGCATAAAACCTTTACTCTTTGCTGCACCTCCATGTTTAAGACGTTTTAAACGACTCTTCTTCTTGTCGTTGACTTTGTCGGAGGTCTGTTGTGAAGAAAATGGAAAATGTTTCTTTTAGAAATGAAATTGAAAATATATTTGGTTCAAAGCCAAATGTAAACCATTAAACTAAACCCAAAAGCAAAGAAAAACTTCGCTACAAACCTTATTTTCAATGGGTCGAATCCTTTGTGATTTGCCACCAATGACACCGCGACAATTTTTCGAGTCGCATCGGCAAACTTGTCCTTCGGCCGGATTAAACAGCGAGAAGTTATAATCATATGTGAGTTCCTCACCCGGCTGAATATCTCTCGATGCGAATAAAGCCATTCGAGACAATCCATTAACTGACCATTTTTGCATTTCGCAATTCGGTTCGCACGAATGATTAACAAATCGACAATCGCTACCCATGCGATGTCCATCAATAAATAGACCACCTTCCAAGTGTAAACAATAATGATGAATGTCGTTGATATACAATGTGGCCATACGTTCTTTGAATTCGCGCTCCGAAACCACTTCACCGACGTACTCTAAGATATAGGTGCCTTTTTTGATGATTTGATTCGTTTTTACACCCCATCCTTTGGATGATCCATCTTTGCATTGGGTCATAAATCGTTCAACCGGCGCAACAATGTGTTTCTGAATCTTTGTATTTCGGCATTTGTCACCGCACGGACACGTTTCGGGAACGCATTCGGTGTACACCAATCGATTCAAACAGTTATCCCCACACTCATAGTCCGGTTTGCAGCTGCATTGTGGCAAATCGGGTGACTGGATAGGCTTTACTGAATCCGCATAAATGTTTGTTCGAATCTTCTTAAAGTTCCAACTGTGAACGATGTTGCGACCGGATAATTTATCGTTAACATGAGCATACCACAAATCGTATGGCAAGGTAAAGTCACTTTTTGTATGAAGCAGGTACTTATCAAAGAATGGCATTGGCAAATGAGGTCCACACACGGGTTCATCATCGTTAGCCTTTTTATCGGTGGAATTTTTCGATTTGTCGCTCGGCAGTGGCACATCGGTTTTGTAGTAGTTGGAAAATAGACCGGCCACTAAATACTTTTTCTTCAGTTTTGTATGAGATTTCTTGCTATCGTTGACGGGAGTCAATTCATCGGATGAATCACCGTAATAGATATTCTCCTCTGGTGGCAATGGATCTTGATCCATTGGCTTGACCCATTCATCAACTGGAACGATATCATTGAGATCGGTAACCGTTTCTTTGCCAATCGATTTTGGTTTTGATTCGGACAACTGAACTTTGTCCTTTGTGCTTGGACTTTTGGCCGTGTCACTCTTATCGGTACGTGCACGCTTCTTTTCAACCACATTTGTGTCATTGTGAATGCTCGACGAACCAATTCGCTTCTGAATATCATTTTTATTCTTTTGATTTTCAGTTTTGTTTTCATCGACAATTTCACGTCGTGATTTCTTGCGGTTTTTATTATCGTCTTCGATTTCCGATTTTTCACGCTCAATTGGCAATGGGACTCTTCGATTTGCCGTTGCAATGATTCGACCATTTACGGTACGCTTAACACTTTTCTCTGATTTCGATTGATCACCCGATGACTTTTTGTTTTCAACCAATGCTGTCACATTTTCTTGTTCTTTCTTCGAAGCAGCGGCCTCGTTCTCCTTCTTGCCAAGCTTTAATTTTGCATTGCGCCCTAATGGTTTAGTGATTGCTGCCGGTTTTGCAGACACCTCTTTGCTATTGTTCACTTGTTGTTTTGAGAGTTTTGGAATTTTTGCTGGCACAACACTGGCATTATCTTCTCTATGCAAAGGTGGTCGACCACGTCGTGGAGCTGACACATTCTCAACCGTATTATCCTTTTGTTTTTCCTTTGTCTTTACATCAACATATTTTTGCTTGAATCGCTTTCCAATTTGTTTCGTATCATTTGCCTCCGCAATGTCATCGACATCCATTTGCGTTTTCTCAGTCTTTGCACCAGCTTTTGGCTTTTTACCCATTGATTTTGGTCTTCCCCTCGGTCGATCTGAGCCAGCAACAGGGAGTGGAGATTTGGAATTACGTTCAATGAATGTTCCAGTTGCTTCTCCTTCCGATGGCACACGATCACAGTCCTCTCTTAGTTTCTTCAACTGATCCGGTTCTAGGCAATTCAAAATGATTTTCGGTTCACAGGTGAGAATTTTACTTTGATCCAAAATAACATTGGTTTCGATGAGAGCCTCCGGATCGGTTTCGGCTTCAATTTCAATTGCTTTGATGATTTGTTTCTTTTTCTTTTTCAACGTTGGGAAACCGGTTCGATTTGGTTTTTTGCGCTTTCTCTTCCCGATTTTCATTGCGGCACCGGTACGATGTAGCAGTTTTTCGACGACTCCCCTTTCAGCAGTTGCTTTGTTCTTGGCCGATGCTTTATTATCAATGCGATTTGTTTCGCCGGTGGATTTTTGCGCCAGTGGTGGAATTGGAATTTCAGTGAATGGAATCTGCAGTTCTAGATCGATGGTTGGTTCAAACACACCGGGCGGTGGAGCTGTTTCTTTGCTATTGCGGGCATGGTTCAATCGCTGATTGTTTGCTTTGGAAATTGACGAGTGTTCAAGTGATTGAGTATTTGATGACGTTTGTTTTGATTTTGGTGTTACGGTTGGTGTCGGTTGCGAGGATTTTGTGGTTAAACTTTTCGGCGCTGACTTTGTAGTTAATGCCTTGGATGAGCGTTGCGCCGAGTTTTTCGATGCAGCCGGCTTTGCTGTCAACTCAGCGGCAGTGCTTTGCGTATTCGGTGATATTTTCGATGTTGACACTTCTAGTCGGCTCTTCTTGCGGGTACTTTCACTTTTCTTCGATTGTGAATTACCTTTGGCCGGCACCGTTTTAGCCATTTCGCCAGTTATTGATGCGGAAACCGATGCTTGAATTTCTTGCAAATCTTTACATGTGCTATTGCTGGTCGCATCGGTCGAATCAACGACATCATTTAAATCAACCGGCGTTTGAAGCAAATGCCTCTTCTTCGGTGTGATTGCTTTTCCCGAAGCCGCGTCAGTCTCGTTATCGGGTTCTATTTGTTCGCCAGCTTTCTCATCCGCATTTACACTGTCATTTTTCTCTCCGGGTGTTAACAGGTAGTGTCGTTTCTTCAATGGCAATTTGTGATCGTCAGGACTTTTCGTTTGCACCGTTTTTTTGTTTCGTCGTTTGGAAGTGGTGGTTGCATTGACTGTTGGCACTTCAGTATTTTCCTGATTGGTTTTACGCTTTTTGCCCGTTCGTCGGGATCCCGTCATTTTGATGGTTTGTGACGAAGCCTTTTCTTTGTCACGGGTTGGTTTTTCGCCATAAATGGCGCACAACGATGTAAACGAGGTGGAGAGCGATTCGATTTGTTGATTGATTTTGGCCAAATTCGATTCAGATACTTGATCGGTGGTGGATTTGAGGCGCTTTCTGCGACGTCTTCGGAACGGATGCCTTGAACTTGTGGAACAATGACTGCTGCAATGACTCACGGCTGATGATCGACGTCGTCGAATCAGACCGGGTTTGATACGATCCAATTTCAGCGAACTTAAATCATCTTTGTAAATGCTTGACGTAATCGTTGCTACTGAATCGTTCATCGTGAGCAGCATACTGTCGAAACTGGTGTTGCTTTTGTGTTTTGCCACACGTTCAGACTGATTGCTCGAATTGTCATCCGCCTTGGTTTTTTGAGCAGGAACTTTGGTTTGTGCCGTTTTCTTTGCCGAATTTGAGATCGAATTGGATGCTAAGGTGGTTTTGAGAGGTGATTTTGATTTGGCTTGTGGCTTATCCGATGAATCAAGGCTACTTTCGTCACTATGCCCCAAACTCAAACCGGCCAACATTAAAATGTCTTGGTCGTTCAGTGTTGGTTTGTTCGACACGGTCTTTGTTCGTCGTTTACGTCGAATTTTCCGTCGATGCCTCGTACTACAATCGCTACGGTAGCCACATGATTTTGCCTTGATACTGTAGTCACTCTTGTAACCACTGCGCCGGCTTTTACAACTGTAATCGCTTTTATAGCCGGACAACATACGACGATTCACATTGCAATAATCACTTGTGTAACCGCTTTGAGCTGCCAGGACCCTGCTGCAAATTGTATTTGTATCACTACGATAACCACATTCGCTTGGTCGCCGAAATTTCTTGTTGATATCGATTTTTCGCCATATTGGATCAACCTTTTCAGTGCTTTGGACATCGTGACTTCTTGACATTGTCTCCGTTTGTTGCTGAGCCTGAGATTGTTTCTTGCGACGCGGTGGATACAATACACGTTCGGTTGCATAAATACTTTTCTCTAACGTTGAAATGTCGATTTTCTTAGCTACAGCGCCCGTTGATTTCTTAGTGGATTTCAAACTGTTACTCCTGATCGATGGTACCGGACTCTGTGGTGTGGATGTGATGCCGGAATCAGGCGATCCATTATTTACACTGGCCGATTCATTTGTGTTTGGCAGAGGATTTTTGCGCGGACGACCTCGTTTTTTCTTCACCGTTTCATTGGTTTCTTCTCCTTTTGCCACCGTTTTATCGTTATTACTTTGTTTTGGGTCGTTCTTTGAGTTTAGCATGTGATTTGAATTTTGTATATTTGATCCCATCATTTGTGTTTTTGCGACAAAATCACGCAATAGTGACGATGTGTATTGTGTGCTGCTTTTCTGTTCGATTTTCGAGTTCTCACCATCGGAGCAACTTTCAACGCGTTGAATGGCGGCCATAACCAAGGCCGGCAATTCCATGTCACTCGACGATGCACCATCGGCATTGAGATTTTGATTAGCGACTGACTTGAGAAAGTCATTTTTGTACGTTTGTTTGTTGGATTTGGATACCGGTGATCGCTTCTCGTTCGGTTCACTGTCACTTGACTCATCACTTGAGTCCGAATTCGAGTCGCTTGTTTCGATGTTTGCCTTTTTCTGCACTCGTTTTGCGGTCACATTCCTTCGAATGTTACTGCCATTTTTATGCAGTTTACTGTTGGAATTGTGTTTCAGTGATTTTGGCGTGATTTTATTCTTTGAACATAGAGAGCTTGAATCGCTATCATCATCACTTTCAGTGCATGCTGAACAGCACGATGAATTCGATGTTGAGTCTTGTCGTTGCTTCTTCGACAACATGTTATGCATGGTTTTACGCTCACTCATACCCTCCTTCGACTCTTTATTCATTGGTTTTCGATTGGCATTTGTATCTTCCGTATGGCTATCGGTTTGTCGTGGCGGTATTTTTGGTATTGCAATTTTCATACGAAGACCAGAGTCGGTGTCATTCCTAAATTCATGATCAAAAATGAAAAGAAAAAAAAACTGAATAAAAAAAAAACTTTTTGATTGGGACATATTCATTTTTCTCACTTCAAAATGCTGAACTTTGTTTGTGACGGTGCTTTTTGATCGATTGATGCCTCACTACTCGAACTACTGCTACTGCTTGACGATGAATCGGTTGCCTTAAAATCGAAAACACATGATCAAATAGAAAAACAAAGTTTCATTAGATTTTCGTTTTTATTCTGGATGAATGGAAGAAAAAAAAAAATGAACGGTTACACGGCACACAATACTCAGCAAACAATGAAAATGCATAAAGTAGATATTGAATATAAAAAGTGTGCTCTTACGTCATCCGAGTCAGAAGAAGTAGTACTGTCATTTGATGGGCCCGTTTTCTTCAGACTCATTTTATCTGGAAAATATTATGTTTTCGCAAACAACCGAGAGAGAGAGAGAAAAGAAAACAAACTCTAAATAATTCTACGGAAATTCAAACACAAATCGCAAACAAATCGCAATGAAATTATCTGAATGTATAATCTGTATAGGCAGCACCACAAAAAAAACCAAATCTCTATCGCTCTTTCTATATGAATATTGAGAAAATTGGCGTTTTAATTCGATACTTACAGGACACAGCTTCGATGTTGTTTTTATTTTGTGTTTGTGTCATGTTAAGGTGTCGATTGTTCAGTGATGGATCCCATTTGGAAACCTTTGAGCTCACATTGCTACTGCCATTCCATTTGGTCAATATAAAATGCAATTCACAGCTCGTTTTTTTCTCACTCTATTCTCTTTCACGTTGGCCACTTAAACCTGAATAGTTTTTTTTCTGTTGGTGCTGTGTATTTCGTTACTGTGTGTGCGTTGGAATAATGTCTCAATCAAAATGGAAATCATTCAATTTAACTTATGAAAACTGAAAGGAATCACATTCACAACAAATGGCCAAATGAACTCTTAAAGTGGTGTAAATTCACTACCAATTATCTCATTCGATGGGTGTTATGTGATGAAACTACATTTATATATATATATTCATAGTTCAGCTATTGCTTGTCAAAATTGCATCAACCACTTTTCACTATGATTCACTGTCGACTATTTTCAAACACTATCTTTTTAGAACATTTACACATGTTTCCTCCCATTTATTCACTCTGTCTTCTGTCACATTTCGAAATCGAATCGGAGTTCATTATCCCATTTATGAGGCGATCAACGACACATTTCTCTCACTCAAATCACAATCTTTATTATGTACACCATACAAAAAAAGCAGTAGCTATATCAAAGTTCAATTTGCGCCCAGACACCTTTTTCTCTAGTTTCGGCGCAATTCTCCACTATTCCATCAATTTTTCGCACATTTATTTACAAAATCGAATCTTAAATCTACTGAATTTCCAGCGAAAATGTCGAGAAATTAGTTGAAACAATCACAAAAGAAACTGTTCCATCGGTTTGCTCCGTTTGCGAGCAACTTATTTTCCCCGTGAAATGATATTTTTGTGTATGAAAAAAAAATTTAAGATGGCGCCTCCTTGGCATTTCACATAAAACCCACAATTGCCATACTCGTTTCTCGGTGTATGTGTATGCGTGCATGTATGCGTGTGCGGTCATGTACAAGGTGCAAGTTTTCAAATGAGAGAAGAAGATATAAAAAAAACACCATTCGCTCGTTATAGTTCATATGGAATTTTAGTACATTTTATTTCAATTTCAAATGTTCTTTTTTCCTGTTTTTTTAATGCTTTTAATGAACTATTGACCAAACCACATTGATTTTGATCGTTTAAACCATGCAAAATAAACGGTTTTTATAGCTCAATATGATATGCAATCCGAATGTAAATAATAACAATAATGACCGTTCTGACAATAAAATTACGCACACAACGAAAAAGTGACAGCCACTTTTCAACTTCCGACCGTATGGTGTGAGTGACTTATTGCATTTACTTTCAAAATACATACAAACACTAGGCTACAAAGTGAGATGTCAATGTTTGCATCGCCATTCGCTTTATCCACACATATGTATATATATTGGACGTACACATACACGCACACAGCCGCATTCACGTGCACTGTAAAATTTGTTGCTATTGTCTCACTCGCACACAGCTATTTGCGGTACGGGTTCACTTCAACATTGTCTCATATAACCGTATCATCTTCTTTTTCCTCTACTTCTTCTGTTCGTATGTATAACATCGGCTCTTCGTTATTGGCGCGCACTCTTCATACTTTAGTTATAATGTGAATAAAACATAACTTCTGTATGTCTTGTCTTGTCTCGTTGTTTCGTATACCATTTGAATATCTCACATGAAGTGGGTCACACATTCCAATCGTTTCATATGGCAGATCTATTTTTCAACTTTTCCAAAAAAAGAACAAAAAATGAACACGAGATTCGGTTTTTGTTTTAAATTTCATTCAAATAACATTTATTTATTCAATATCCCTCTGTTCGCGTTTTATATTTAGCTTAGAGTTTGTAGATAATATAAAAAAAATTCTTCAATTTCTCCACCAATTGAAATAACAGAGAAAAATAACTTTTAATTTTTTTTATCTCCAATTTAAAATTGCTTTTGTTAACGACATTTTTTTCCATTTTTGTTTGTTTGTCTGGATCAATATACTTTTTTTTGTTTGTTTTAAATTACTTATGCTTATACAAAACAGAATTTCTTAAACGAATTGCAACGGAGATCGTTCGGTTAGATAGTTTAATGTGTGGTTGGATTTTGGTTGGATCAAAATCGTAAAATTGGGCCAATCTGAATGGGTTTTGATTCAAGAACCTATATAATCTGTGGTCTTGACTTCGGATTTTTTATGAGACGTTCTGCAAATGAGAATAAATTTGTATGAATAGTGTCAGTGTATTGGATTTTAATAAGTGATTGTTTTTGAGTTATTGTTAGAAGTTTCATTCACTCACCTATGGTCGAAATAGGAATAATCGGTTTCGAAGCCGGAATGGGTCACGTTCACGTGGATCGTTACCAAATCGAATGCGACGAAAGTTTGCATTTCGAGCGATTGGTCGGGGTGTACCTTCGGTTTGCACGATATAACCTTTGTTGATGATGTTTTTATTGTTGTTGCGTTGAACCTTCAAATATTGCATCGTTTCTGGTTCTTGAAGTATCTGAAAAAGAAAACCAGAAATATTTCCGTTAAAAATAAGTCAAATTTGATTTGATCTCTGTTTCCATTCGCGCGGAAATTATTTGCCAAATGACAACGTCATTGGCCAAAACTTACATTCATAACAATTGCATCGGAAAATTCATTAACAATGATTTTCAGCGGAATCGGTGTACGCTGACCCATTGCGGTGTTAAAGTGTTCCTTGCGGCTTGTCACAATATTACGAATGAATCGAGCGCTCAGCTCAAAACTACACTCGTAAATGCAAAGCGATTCCAATTTCGGTGCATATTTCAACATTTCAACCAATTTATCCTCCTCCAATGGAATGCCCGAAAATCGAACTTCCTTTATATCTGGCAAGCATGTTCCAATCTTTCGTAAACTGCGATTTAATTCGGCAAAAATGCGATCGTCTGACTGTCGTACATTTGTAATTTCCAATGTAAGATGTTCCAATTTGGTGAGTCGGCTAATCACATCGATAATTGTCTCGTTGAAATAGGATCGACTAAACGATAAATGCAGTCTTGTTAATTCGGTGAATTCACACAGATTGACCAAATCAGTGGTGCGTAGAACGAGCGGTGCCAATTCACTGTAATAATCATCGATGTTAATAACGGCGAGCTCCGTAATTTTGGCACAGGCTCGATGCAAACGTTTGAAGAGATTCTCATGCAAACGATAACCACTTGCAATCATCAATTTTGTCAAAACGGGAAATTCGGGCACCGAATCGTCTTGACTCACAAATGACTCGATGAAACCAGACGTGCGCATGCGAAGTGTCTTTAAATTTGGCCATGCACAGTTGAATTTTTTATAATCAAAACTGTAGTTAAAATCGATATCAAGATAATTTAAATGAAATAGTAATGGTTTCATGAGTTCAAATTGTTCGGTGGTCACACCAAATGATGTTAGCGTGAGTGATCTCAACTGTGGCCCAATGTATTGAAACAATCGATCGCAAATGTAGCGCTGTGAAGACGAATTGAACGATTTTATCGATACCGTTAAATTTGTAACCGAATGACCGAAACCAAGCAATCGCAGTATACTGCGCAGTTCCATCAATGTGACAGTTTTTTCTTGTGTTTGACGTGTTATGGTCAACGTACGAATTTGTTCGGCAATTGCTTGGAAACGTGGACTGAACTTTGCCATTGCGGCCAATTCGAAAATATCCAAATAGGTCATTATTTTGTGTATACAATCATCGTTGAGGCCTTCGTCAATGCGCCGATATAGGGTTTCTTTGCGTGTCGATGTGGGCTGTTGATTTTCTGACAAATATTTGTCCAAGTCACTTGCCGGTTGGTTCCAGCTAAACGCTTGCTCCACTTCAATTTCACGTTCTTGCACCACATGCCCATGCTGTCTCAACGCTTCAGATGCACCATGTGTGTTGACAAATGTCACGTATGCATAGTATTTGCGTTGACTTGGTGGTTGATCCTATTTGGAATGGAGTTGTTTTTTTTATTTCGTTCAACAATTAGTATCGAAATTCAATTCATCCGGTAAATTGTAATAATTTCCAGAAGACTTACCACAAAACCCGTTCCCGCTGTTCCGACGGCCGGAAGTATGTCGAAAAATTTTAAGCGTTCTGGCACGATTTGCACGCGCTCAATGGCTCCAAACTGGCGAAAGTAGTCGCATAATATCTGGTTTGTTATCTAAATAAAGGAGGATAAAAAATCTTGATTGAAAAATCTCAGTCGATTGCAATTTTAAAACGTTTTTAATCGCAAACATACGCTTTACCAGTATTTTCTGTGTTTTTTTTTTCTGCGTATCAAATTTGTACATGCAATTACATTGTTTATTATTTATGTTTGGGAAAATAAACAAACAATTCGCTTCTGTGGAGGAATTTCCATTCAATATGTTTTTTTTCTTCTCTTAATCCTGTCATGTGATTCAATAACACACAACAGATTAAATGTTCCATCGCTTCGAATTGGCTACCGAAATTTTACCGCTATTCGTGTGCTTGATTCAATGCATTTTAAAATGTACGACGAAAAAAAAAACGAAAGTGACTTTGAACCCTACATTTTACTTACATTGATCGAGATGTTTGGTATATAAATCGTTCTAATTGGAATCCCTTCTTCGGTCACATTCTTTTCCATGTACATTTCTGCGCCTAATCGATATTTAATTGTTTGTAGTTAACTTTGTTTTTTTTTCTCTTTGCTGCTGCTGCTACGTATTACTCTCGCAATATTTCTTTCATTAGCATGAACAAAAAAAACTATTAATGTGCAATGCACACACACAATTCGCAAATAGTTATATTTTATTTTCTATGTAAAATTGTAATGAATGGTCAAGCAAATATGTGATAAGATTTTATCTAATCACAGAGTGAACTTAGTGTACAATCAGTAATTAATAAAAACATTGCAAGCAAATTTTTCTGAAATAATCTTTAGTTCGATTTTCTACTGTGATAAATCGACGGAGTACGCCTTCACGAATGTATTTTTCTTTCTCGTATGAGTTTTAACTAAAGACGAAATGTCACTTGATACTTACGACATGAAGTTGAATTGAATTCGGATGGTAGTGCAGACCCATCTATTGGCATTCAATCCAACTACTGTTCATCTTTGGAAAATGTTGTCACAAATGTTCGAAATCAAACTAACAATTGATTGTTTGTATGTTCATATTTTTGTTATTTATTTCGATTCAGTCATGGTATCGACTGGTTTTAATGGAAATTCGGAAATTTCGTTGCCATTATATAAATGTGATGACATTCAAAGGAATATGTTTTGCCTACACACTGAAACTCGGAGAGATACACAATTATTCAATGGGAAAAACAATCGTCAACATCCCCTACTAAGTCTGTCTTGGTTTCAGTTCTTCAATGCATGGGCGCAGGAAAATGTACGTCTTTTTCGATGGATTGTAGTATTCGTGGCCTTTGCTCCAGTCATAACCAACGGCATATGCAAAGATATCACCGCGTGCATTGAAACAACATTTGGTTATCGCTTCGCCCATCGATTCGGACGACTTGAGTTTGGTACGGGCATCTTTGTCCCAGAAACTGAATGTACCGTCTGAGCCGACCGTTACCAGTGTACCATACATCGGATGGAATTTGATGTCATTCACAGCATAAATATCCTGAATATTGTTGTTCCCATTGATTCGATGGCATTTGAATGTAAAGTTATCTTTGGGATTCACTGGGCTCACCTATTTTGAAAACATTTTTTTTTCGGCAAATATGAAATGTAAAATTTGAAGCATGCGATAAGCCATGGTACAAATTAACCAACATTTCAAGACACACTTACATATTGAATAGCAACACGACCCTCAATACTGCCCAATGCATAACCGGTTGGTTTCTTTTGTTTGTCACGGAAAATCGAAACGGCCCGATGTTGGAATTTTAGCGGGCTTTCCATTTGCTTAAATTCGGTTGGCTTATTTTCTAATGAGTACACAATTAATCGACGACCGGCTGTTCCAACGATTGCCATTGGATAATCGACATCGGCGCAATAGCAGCGCTCCGGCAAATTGATGGCCATCATCGGTGACGGTGATCTGTTGAATAATATGATGTAATTCTTTTTTGTATATATATGTTTATCTTTGGATGGCATTCATTTTCTTAAAATTGGTTTAAAATGGCCAAAAACAAATCTCGGTTTTACCTGGTATCCCAAAATTTAAGTGTCTTATCCCAGGAGCCAGTCATTAAGCATGTGTAGTTGGAGCCTTTGACCCAATGGCACGTTTGTATGGGTGCGTCATGTTGTGCCACTTGCATCATTTGATTTGAACCCAAATCCCAACACTTCACTTGTTTGTCGCATGATGCAATGAATGCCTTTGTACCGTCCTATTTGATTGACACACATGGAACGAAATGTATATAAAAGTTCAATAATTTTGGACTCGTCGACGCAAAACAAATCTTACAAACAGAAATAATCTACTCACATCTGCCCAACAAACATCCAAAACAGCGCCACCCATCGTTTGCATTTGTTTTGGTATTGTTTTGCCGGAATTGTCCACCTCCCACAATCGAACGCTCGAATCCCAGCTACCGGCAAGCAAAAAGTTTTGTTGCAGTGTACCCGGACTGAATTCCATTGCGGAGACTGTATCATCGGGTGGTGAAGTCACTTCGAGATCCTTATTTGGATTCATCGTTTGTACTTGAGGCGTTGCGCCAAATACACTCTGTCCAGTTAATGGTGATCCAAACATTTTGTGCCACGGATTATGTTGAAACTCAAACAAGACAAAATACCAAAAATGCTATGCACCTAACCTGCAAATTTGACCGATGAACAAAAATGATTATTCCACAATGTTATCAACATTCACTCTTTGCGCAAAATTGTGTAATTATATTGTATTTTTGATTCAATTTTAAAGCACTTGAAGTGTCTTCATTTAACTTACAAATATAATTAATGCTTCGCTGAGAATGTGTCGTCGGTATTTAGCGCGACTCAGTTTGTTTGTGTTTCATATGTTATATGCTAGTTGCTGCGGCGTATGGTTGACAGTTGAAGCTGTCATTTTGGGACAGAGAAACAATTCCCCGTTTTACGAAATGTGATACGTAAATCGAAACCCGTACGATAACATGTTCTGATTTATATTTTTGAATTGTTTACTCCGGTATGAATTATTATATTTATGTGATACGACGAACTTTGTGCTTTTGTTATTCGATTGAAATTCCCAATTTTTTGTTTGGGTGGTGCCATTTTATGAAAGGAAAAAAAAGTCCAAATGCTTTTAGGTTTTTGAAAGTGAAATGATGACCAACTTTTTCATTCTGCATACAATTTATGTAAATCTAAATCAATGAATTAACGAAAATTTCATTTGGCCATGCAGTATCGCAAAATCGATGTGTGTGTATGATGATTTATTTAAAATATGTGCGATATGATCATCGAGAGGTAGGGATGTCGTGTTAAAACGAAGATGCGCACTGTCCGAAAGGTGCGGCAACATCCGTATTGATTAGTATGAAAAGCAGAAATTAAGCGATACAAATTCATGATCATCATCTTTTCGGAAGGAATATCGCTGCGCAAAAATATCATCACATTCAGTCTGACGGCCGATAGCCACATTTGAAGACGTGCCGTAAAGAGAAAACATACAAATTTTGTAAGTGTTGATTTTGCGTTGAATCGTTCAACATCTAGACCGAATAGTATTCTTGTAATCCGTAGCAAGACCTTGAAAATGGCTATTTTTATCATTAGCCATTGGGTTTTCAGAATTTAATTGAGATAAGTCGTCAACATATTTATATGACAGTGGATACAAATTGCTATTCGTATACTACAGTATACACGATCAATCGTTTTGTAATTCAGGATAATCAAGTTAAATTACAATGGGTCGAGAGGAAAAGAAGAAGTGAAGAGCATAGGATAAATAAATGTACACAAATGGTAATGGCGAGAAGAAGTAATTCTTCATTTTTCCACAGATTTACACACCTGAGCATCTGAATTGAAATAGCAGTCAAGGTCAAGAAGTCAACATGCCGCGCCAACGGAACGAGATTGTGAAGTATGAGTTTTTTGATTTTGATAAAATACGCGTAGATCTAAAAACGGTTGGAATATTTTTTCCTACCTACATTTACTACATTATAGTTAGTTAATTCGGGATGCAGAAAAAATTGCTTCCAATCAGCATTGCACGTGATAATACCGTTATTAGTTCGATTGTTATGATTTGATGACAACCATATAATCGCTCAGTAAATGCGGTAATTTGGTTTAAAAAAGGGACAACCTCCAAAAAAAGTTAATTAGTACCCATACTTATTCCGTTCAACTATCGTCACAAGAGGTGCCAAAAACTGGTTTCCGACAAAACAAACATCGGCACATAACAAAAAAATCAATTGGTTACGTCACATCAATGAACAATCCTATCAACCGGATCATCAATATTTTTTTTTTTTTATACTCGCCGAATGTGTTGAGCCGTAGTAATTAAGATGCGTGCTGAAGATTAAATTTTTTTGTTGGAATGCGGCAAGCCGTTTCATTTTTGTTGTTTTGAGTGAATTTTTCTTTTTCATGATCCAACGTTGAAAGCATACATAAGCAACGTTCAGAAAAAGAAGTCAAAATTTGCATCTTTAGAACTATTTACATGAACTTGACACGGTGAATGATGCCGAAATGAAGCAGACGAAACAAGTTTTCCTCTCGTATTCTTCCTCTCTATATAATTCAGCGTCGGTGCAAATGTTTATGTGAAAATTTTGTTTTCATGCACGATGAATCATAATAATAAATATTTAAATAATTCGAAAGACAAGATTCAATCCAGAATTGGAAAGAGTGAAAAAAATAGCGATAAATTGAATTCATCTGCGTCGACCTTTGAATTAACCAGACGAATTAAATGTCAGAACATGTATGTGTGAATTTAATTTAATTTTATTTTCGTATTTTTTTTGTTCGCTTCAGAGAGTCATCATGCTGGCAAAATCGAAGTTTGCTAGAGAAAACACTGTTGGTGTTTTGCATTTTTGCTGTCATCGCAATTCTTGCATTATCTTTGTCACTTTACGTGCTGAATTTGGGAAAAGAACGTGAGTCGTATTGGAATAAATTAAAATCCTTTTACATTTTGAATTAGAAATATTGTTCAATTGAAAGCAGGTTACGACACAAAATTGAATCAAGCTGAAGCATTGCGAAATGCTCGACAATTGGATCAACCTTACGCAAAAACATCTCCGGATATGCAATGGCGTGATGGACAAACAGCACCACCATCATCGCCAGAATTATCCGACAGACAATCAACACAATCCATTGATGGACAAATACAAATTGGACAAAACCAAGATGCATCATTCCCATCCACTCAAGATGGTCATTCACAACCGGCTCAATACGTCAGCATCGGAGAATCACAACCAAAACCAGCTCCAGTGTGTGAAACACCAGGATGTGTTAAGGCCGCTTCCAACATTCTCAAGCAACTCGACGAAGTTATCGATCCATGTGACAATTTCTATGAATTCGCTTGCGGAAACTACATAAAAGAAACAATGTTGCCCGAAGACAAAACATCAGTCGATCCATTCGATAAAGTTCGTGATTTGGTTCAAGAACAATTACGAACCATTATCAATGAACCACCGCTGCCAAACGAATCGAAACCATTCAAATTGGCAAAAAATTTCAATTTGGCCTGTTTGAATAAAACCAACATTGAAGCACAAGGTACTAAGCCGTTGGCGGATATTTTGGAATCATTTGGCGGTTGGCCGGTTGTTAAGGGCAATTCATGGTCAGATGCCACATGGGATTGGGTTGAAGTTATCAAGAAATTCAGACGCATGGGTCTTCCAACAGCAATCATTTTCAACTTTGATATCAACACCGATTTGAAGAACAGTAAACAACGCCAATTGTATGTAAGTATACAAACAGTTCATGTGGGTTGTAAAATGAAGCCATTATCATAAAAATGGCTGAAAATAGCAAAAAAACACATGATCATTGACTACATATATGTAAATCATTACAACAACAGATTGACCAAACGGATCTGGAATTGGGACGTGAATATTTGATTGAAGGAATCGAAAACAAAGCCGTTAAAGGTAGTTGTTCGCCCAGCAATAAATTTATTGGATTCCACCATATCATTTATTACCTCATTTGTAATTTATAGCTTATCACAAGTTCATCGTTGATAATGCCGTTATTTTTGGTGCCGACCAAAAAAAAGCCGAAGAAGAATTGAAAGACGTGATTGAGCTTGAAATTAAACTTGCAAACGTATGTGGATCGGTTTTTCTTGCTTTTCGAACCGTGTTTTACAAAATATCGACCATTTCATTTTAGATTTCACTCTCACGCGCCGAACGTCGTAATGCCAGTCTTTTGTATCACCCAGTGACAATACGTGAACTACAAGAATCCTACCCATATTTGAACTGGTTGGACTACATCAATGCATTGTTGCCATCAAACTTGCAAGTTGATGAGAATGAAATTTTGAGCAACACTGTACCGAAATTTTTCGAGCAATTGGGTGACATTCTAAGTTCAACACCAAAACGTACCATGGCCAATTATTTCTTGTGGCGTGTTATTCTCGCCACATCTGGAACATTGACACCAGAATTGCGTCAACACAAATTACAGTTCTATAAAACGGTGTACGGTTTGCAGGGCGAACAGCCTCGCTGGAAAGAGTGCATACAATTTTCATCCGAAAGGTAAAGAACATAGGGTGGCAGCATCAAGAAAATTCAAATTGTCGCGCTGTTTAGTTCGGAAAAAAATTCCGAAATTACATTGATTTGCCTATTGAAATTGAGGGCGCTCGCGTCGCTACAGTTGTCATTTAAGTTGTTTTCGGTCTTGCTGCCATCCGATGGTAAAGAAATGATTTGAATCTGGGGGTGAGACACAAATTCTCTAGGGGCTTCACGCAATTTTGCAGAACGCAAATAACTCTGAAAAAATAAAAATAATAGTGAATCAAACCTTCAACCGAAAATTTGAACCACTTTTGAAGGATTTTGGGAGATTTTGGTGGATTACGGTGAATATTGGAACATTTTTTGACTATACAATCTGCACTAATTTACTGGTATGCACGTCAATCTCAAATATCTATGCATATTTAATGATATTCATTAGACTGTAATGTCAAAAAATGTTCCAATATTCACCGTTATCTACCAAAATCGTTCAAATTTACGGTTGAAGGTTTGATTCACTACTATTTGCTACTATTTTTATTTTTCATAAACGTAAATTTGACATATCTATGTATATTCAGTAATATTCATTTGTCGTTCACGATGAATATTGTTGAATATACATGGATATTTCGGAGTTACATGCATACCATCACGGGTGATGATTCCAAGCTTGAACTTGCCGTCAATGCCAATGCCAATGTGATTCACGACCTGAACACAAAAAGAACTGTAATCAGAGTCATTCAAAGCATTGCAGAAAGGCTTGAGTTCATTGCGTGCAGGTTGTTGAATCACATAAATCAGAATGAACGAATCTGTTTGGTGAAACCAGAGTTAATTATGCGGTCCAAGTTCATCGCATTGGTTATTCTTTCTAGTAAAATGGGTTGCAGAGCGTATTACACTGTCAATACAACGCTTATGGAAGACCTAACGGGACTTAAACAATATGACCATAAGCGTTTACATTGGCAAACCAAATTCACTAATTTCTTCTATTTTTCCTATTATCGTTGAATAATGTTCTAATTTTATTCATTTACGTTCCGTGTAGTTTAAGTTCCGTGTAGGTCCCCTAGTTTTGAATTCTTACGAATTATAAAATTCAAGCACAGAAACATCAAGCATACCTTTCATTATTCATAAACAACAATAATGCAATTTGAATGCATAACAACTGAAATTAACCTTCTTTTTTTTCTGTTTGTGTTGTTGCAGCTTGCCAATTTCCGTGGGTGCATTGTATGTGCGTAAATATTTCAGCGATGAATCAAGAAAAACGGCCGTTGAGATGGTAGAAAATATACGTGATGAGTTCGTGAATATTTTGAGTGAAATTGACTGGATGGACGAGAAGACTCGACAGGAAGCCATAAAGAAGGCAAAAGCACTTACCGCTCACGTTGGTTACCCGAACGAGTTGGCTGACAACAACAAACTCGAGGATTACTACCAAAATCTGGAAATTGAGCCGGACAATTTGCTCTTGAACACGCTGCGCTTGAACGTATTCAACGCTGACCATTCATTCAGTAAATTGCGTAAACCAGTGAACAAAACTGACTGGGAGACACATTCAAAACCAGCCGTGGTTAATGCATACTATGCATCGCTTGAAAACAGCATCCGTACGTACATAACAATCTCATAAAATAATACACAATCAAGTTGAAATGAGCAATCGTTCTGTAATGCTATATTCATGTGTGTAATTTAACTCTGCAGAGTTCCCAGCTGCGATCCTCCAAGACGTTTTCTTCTCAGCTGATCGGCCGCGCTACATGAACTACGCAAGTATCGGAAGTGTTATTGGGCATGTAGGTTCTATTCAACAATTATTTTGGACGGTCTTTTTCAATGTTTTTTTCAAATTTTATTTAAGGAAATTACACATGGATTCGATGATCAAGGGCGTCAATTTGATTTAGATGGCAATTTGGTTGATTGGTGGGATCCAGAGACAAACAAACAATTTTTGGAGAAGGCACAATGCATCATCGATCAATACGGCAACTACACCGATCTGAAAGCAAACCTTTCGGTAAGATTTATCGGATATTTGATTGGTCTCCTCTTTAGATTTTATCTTATTATGAATTCGACACTGTGAATCATTCATTCTTTCGTTTATTTGCAGTTGAATGGAGTGAACACGCAAGGTACAGATTGACATTTCCCAATATCTTATCAATACAATATTGTAGCATTGATTAATTATAATTCTTTGAACTTAGGAGAGAACATCGCTGATAATGGTGGTACCAAGGAATCGTACATTGCATACAACAAATGGGTGCAACGCAACGGACCTGAAGGCACATTGCCCGGTTTAAAATACAATCAAAAGCAATTGTTCTGGATCTCATTCGCCCAATCACGTTGTACGGTTGCTCGTGATGAATTCACGAAAAACAAAATCCTTACCGGCTTCCACGCACCCAACGAATTCCGTATTGTTGGTGTCTTGAACAATATGCCTGAATTTGCGTACGACTTCAATTGCCCCGAAGGAACCAAAATGAATCCGACACATAAGTGCAAAGTTTGGTAGTCCATGGAAAAGCAAAAGAAAAAAAAGAAAACAATGGCGAAAAGTTGTTTTAACTTTCAACTCAATAGCAAACCATTATGTTGGAAAAATTATTTGTCCAAATAAAAAGGAAAAAAAAAACAACAGAAAAAATCAATGGAAACAATGTTATTTCTCTCATTTGAACGCATGATAATCTCTTCTTTCATTGGTGCATGCAATGTAAAGATGCCAACTAAAACCGCAACTGGTATCAAATTAGCCGCCACTGCACGCAATTTTATGTGATAATTTTTTCTTCGTAGAACATATCAAGCCTCCATTTATATGGAAATTAATTGCGAAAATTGGAAGTTTTTATTAAATATTTTGTGAGATTTTATTGCATGCATCTATAGTAGTAGAGCGAGTTAAAAACTAATCCGCCTGAAACCGTTTCTCTCTCTCTCTCTCTCTCTCTCTCTCTCATCGCTGCGATAAAAGCGGCATTTAGATAATAATGCAGTAAAGTAAAGTAGAAAAGGCAGAAGAGATAAAAGTGGTGCGGTTATGCTGTGATTGCTGCTGCATGCGATAATTAAAAGATCTAGTTGTTTATATATGTATACACAGCAATCGCACATACATTACGTATTTCATCCGTTTTTATGATATCACTCGAACCGAACCAGACCGAATGAGCTTTATTTCATCCCAGCACACACGATTTACGTAAGATTTTGTTTTTTTTCTGCATTAGTATTAGTATCAGTATCATTTTTTTTGCTTTTTTTTCGTGGAAAACGTGGCCAGCTCTAATCGGAAAAGATGAAACCAAATGACGCCACACATTAGTTTCATGTTGAGAGCAGCTGTCATGTGTGGCAAAGGCGCATGAAATGCCATGATTTGCATTTATGCACGGCCAATAATTTATTTTGAGAACTAAATTTATTTATCGTTGCCCGTAAAATATTTGACACGAGAGCAATAATGACTAATGACGATGGACATCACATTTTCTGTTTGTGCCAGTCATGCCTATCGATCGCTCGCTTGCTCGCTCAAAATTGACTCTCGATCGCCGAACATTGTTTCTACATCATTATATTCGAAAAGCACAGTGCTCCCATTAGCGATTCTAAGTGTACACTGTACACAGGAAAAATATATTGAACATAACCGATGAAAAATTAATAATGATGCATCATTGATAATATACACGTAACCAGTGCGTATTACGCACGTTAACTGAAACCATCCCATCTGCATTATACGAACGATATGAAATGCAAATTCTCCATCTTGCTCAATCGTTTCGCTTAATGAATTTTATCCTCAGCTTCGGCGCTTGAAATCTCTTTCAGCGTTTGTGTGCTGGTGAGCGTTGGGCGCATGGAATTTTATTCATTAGCTTCTTTATGAATATGGAATATGTAATTTCCCATAAAATTATGAATTATGCCTGAGATTAAAAGCATGATAAGCGTTTTTGTGTGAGTGTATATGTTTGCGCGCGCGACAAACGTCCCAGTGAGTCTGATGGTGGCTGTGATAGAGATAAAAATGAAGACCACATTATAATTTGCATGGGCGCACCGCGGATTTTCAAAATTGAAAACCAATTTTCAAAAGACAAGAATGATGCAAACACATGCAACTCTTTGTGTCTCTGTTCAATTATTTTTTGTCTTTTTCTTTCTTAATTCATAGATGGCTTCGACCAAATAATGGTTATTAAGTTGTTTGCCATACAATTTTGTGATCTAATGAGCATAATAAATTTGTTTGCTGCATTCTTTTTACGTGCAAACAGTTGAATAAATACTCTCGATGCAAATATTTATGACCCTAATTAAGACCAACGCAATGCTTTTGATTGGAGCTCTGGCTCTGTACCTTGCAATGTCCACCAGCAGCAAAGTATGCTGAGCAAACACGTGATGTTCTTCGTTCGTTTGATAAAAGGACTTCGACATATATGTATATGTTGAAACCCAAACACACATAGTGAATGAAAAACAATTCACACCCATCATTATAACGATGTAAATTGACGTATTGTGTTGCCAATTTTCACATGCATCTCATTTTCATTCTCGGATTTTAATTACTTGTCAAAACAATAGATCACATCATTTAAACGGTTTACATGGTGCGAACCAGTGAAGAAAAAAAAACCTAATCACTACACACTTCGTGTGCCGGTTTAGCACGAACCAAAAGAGAACGAGAGAGAATCCCAGTAAATCAGACAGCCAAACAAAATGCACACTTAAACATTTTGACGCCTTCGAAGTCGAACGGAATAGGTGAAAAACGATCAAGCGAAAGCACATAGACACACTTTCTATCGATCGATTTGTAGGCCTTTACTTTATCTTTCGGTTACAAATGAAATTTCGTTTCCTTGTCTGGGGATTGGTGCTTTTTTTTTCTTCTTCTCTCGCTTCGAATTTCAAACCGACGATACAGATTGTACGGACATTTGACGCGCCTTTTCAATTAAAATGCCCACATCCATTTATCACCGTTTATTTGCTACGGTCATTTACTGATTAAATTCATTACGTTTTTGCCGTTACTACTGCTGCTGCTGCTGCTGCTGCTGCTGCTGCTGCTGTACTGCTGTGGCTCGGCAACTATTTTGCTAACAACAACAGAAGAAGAAAAAGAAAAATAAGAGTTCAAAATACACACCAATCTTAATAACAAACTGTAATATGCGCTCGATCTACATGCGATGCATTTCAAGGATTTGGATTTAAAAACATCTTTTCGTTGTGCTGTACACACCAACCATTTCAGACAAACATTGAAATTGGTATTCATTTCATGTGTTATGCTTAAGCCCATGTACCATGATCGAATCGAGCAAAATCGAGAGAAGATGTAAAGCAAAAAAAAAACACACACCAATTTTCAAACGTTCACCGGATTTCATTTATATTTTTCCATCATGTTTTCAACACAACGTTCGGCTTCAATTCAATTGGGTTTCTGGCCTAAAACAGTCTTTCGTTGTTTTATTTCTGATTTGATATTTAATTGCTGTAACAATGCTAAGCGAACTAGACAAAAAACGAAGATTACCGTTCAATCATCGTTGATATATTCTCGATTCCAATCGCATTCATGTGCCCGATGGCAGTTTCAAAAGAGGATTCATAAACTTTATGCAAATTGTTTTAGTTCATTTTCATTATTAGCAGCATTCCAAATGTGGTGCTCACAGTAAATTACAATTTACAGAGGAACAACACCCAACTCATGCTGTGGCTTGTGAGTTAATAAAAAAAAAACTAGCGTCTCTTCCATCCATCGCAACAGGCGAAACAAAAAATTGAACAAGAATGTGCACGGGCAACGAAAATGAACAGAAAAAAGACGCATAAAATAACCGAAAATCGCGTGCGCAGTCGTCGACGAGCGCACACTCGGCGGCTCATTCGAATAATGTGTTATATCATCAAACAAATGTGTTTTTTCTTTCTTTTTTGACTCTGTGGTGTGTGTTGTATTTGTTTCTGTTTCTGTGTTTTTTTTTTTGCAAATTCTCCGCGTTCCAGTTGGAGTTCGCACATTATATGCGGATGATGATCGGCCATGTATACGATGTAAACAACAACAGAAAATCGTCTTACAATTTTTGCATATAAGCAAACATAGTACAATGCCAAACCATGTCTTGAACGCAATAAAGTACACATACGTACGTACGGTGGTGGTGATGATGATGGTTTGGCATAAGGTATTTTGCATAGGTTTGAACTTGCATTACCGAACATGGTATCGTGTTTCATGGTAGCAACACATGCAATATAACAGCCGTTTGAATATATCAGACTATCGCGCGCGCGCGCGTCTGACACAAAGCGTGCGCTCACCAAAACTTTGCGCGTATATGGCTCGTTGTTTGTTTTGGTTACTATGTTTTATTTTTTCTTCTTCTTCTTCTTCTTCTTTTTTTCGTCGTCTTCAGCGCGTTGCTCTGTATACACACACACACACTGTGTGAGTTTGTTTACTTGGGTACGTTTCATCGGCTCGCCGTTCGGTGTTTCATTTCGTTGTCTTGATTCAACGTGATCGGTCGCAAAGTGTCTGATACTGTTGTAACTCTTTTTTTTCCCTCAATATTCATTCCAGTGATTTGTTTCTTTAATTTCGTTCACGTCCACAGATTTGCAAGCACATTTGGTGCGCAGTTTCAAATAAAAATTGTCGTTATTTGTGTTTTGCCGTGCCGCGCTGCGCCGTCCGAAATAATTGAAAAATATGTTTACATTTCCGTTGATTTGATTGTTGAACGGTTTTTTTTTTCATGCACCCGAAAGGAAAGAAAAAACAAGCGTAAATAATTTATCCGATTTCGTATTGTGCGAGTGTGTAGTAAGAAAAAAGTATTTGCGAATCGAATCCGAACCAAAAAAAAAAATTACAACATTGCCATTGCAATTCGGATAGACGAAGCAAATAGACATTTTGAAAGAAGAAAAAAACGGCCCAAAACACTTACCAAATTCAGTGCGCTACGAAATCAAATACATTTAATTGGAGCACGAAAATAAGTAGAAAACCGATCGATTGGCATTTTTGGTTGAATAATAATAATAAATTCAAAGCAGAAAATAAAAACCACAACGTTTTATATATATTATCAAATCAGAACTAAATTTCTGTGTGGCGCTGAACCATTTGGCCATTTTTGAAGTTCAGCGAATAACGGTTGACCAGAAATTTTCCATGCAATTGCACCTGAAATGTATCCTTCAAATTGATTCGATTCGACCACATTCAGACATTTTCGTTTTCAATCAGACAGAGACACGCTCAGCGAAATCGAAATCATAACCAAATTATAGAGTCGTAATAATTAATACAGACAGCAAAGCAAATCCAAACAAAAAAAACTAATAATAATATTGATTCGTTATTCTGCTTCCCTCTCTATGCATGTGTATGTGTTTGGCATGAAAAAAAGTAGTTATTGTTTAATAATCAGTTACGTTGAAAGTGAACAACAAAACAACCCAGCCAGTGCAAATTGAACGATAGAAGAAAGAAAAAACCGAATCGGCTCGAACTCTCGCTCGATACCAGCTGCAAACAAAAGAGAGAGAGAGAAAAAAAATACAATTTCATTTTATGCATTGTTTGGCAATAGTTCTACGCGCGTGTGAAACGACCGACGGAGAAAACGAGAGTGAGTGCATTCCAATTGATCCATTGTTGAGCATGGATTTACCTAGATTTTGACTGATTTACAACATTACAAACAAAAGCCAAACAACACCAACTGAAGTGTTGATCGTTGCATCTCAGCTCATCATACCAGATCTTATGAGGCGCTTCGTGTATGTGAGAGATTGGACTCTCGAACGGTAACGGTATCTTCATTTTTTGTTCGTTGTTGTTGTTGCTGCGGATTCGTGTATAATCAAAGTGTGTAATCAAGAAGTTCATTTGCGCATTTTCTCATCTCTCACTCGGGGTATGTGTATGTGTGGAGATAATCGGTGATACGTGCAAGTGAAAACGCTCAACTAAATCACAAACCGTAATCGGCTCTACGCAATTTTACGCTCGGAGCGTGGGTGATGGTAAAAAGACTAAGATCGCGAATGCAAACTCTAATTACCTAATGAAATCGGAACAATAGCGAAATAGAGTCTAACCGAAAAAGATTAAAAACTGTGTAAAAGAAAAGTGTAAAGAGTGCACTCATTTAAATTAAATTTTGAAACGAGAAAAAAAACAACCAAATCGAAAACGAAGCGTAAAACGGAGAAAAAAAAACCATGGTGAACAAACAATACAATGTACAGAATTTAGGTAAAAACAAAACGAAAAATTCAAATCAAATCGACGTAGAAACATTGAAACAAACCATTACCGTTATACCAAACGATACGACGAATTTGAACATCAGCTCAGGTGGAGCAAATGACGGCTATCAATCACAGCAGAATGTTTTCGAACAAAATATAAAGCAACAGTTTTACTATAGCCTCACCGATTCGCTGGACGGACACTTTGAACAGAAGCACAGTGGTGGCTTTAGTGACGATTCAATGGTAGATATTGTCAAAAATAGCAGTAACATTGCAGGTGCTACAGACGCCGATACACAATCACAAAAACATTTATCAATTAATGATATCGGACGTTTCCAATATATTTTACAAATGGACCGAGAAATGGTAAGACACTCTTTCTTATTCCGATTCGATATCACATACATTCAACATAGCTTACGGAGACAGAGCGAAAGAGAGAGAGAGGAAAAAAGAAGCTGATTTCTTCCATTACGTTATAATCTCTGGGCCAATAAATATTATGAATAATTTCGCGGAACGATCGTTTATAAGCTTATCTGATCGATATGTTGCACGTATTTTGAGCAATTCGTGAGCAGATTGCTGCATTTCTCTTTCGATCCATCCGTCTTTTTCGTTCGTCGTTACTTGGACGATGGTGATGCCATGGTCGCGACCGATGGCTTGGTCGACGTAGACATGACTCGGTTACATCGGAATTCGAATCGATATGTTGATATTAATGGGCTATTAATAAGGCAGCCTTACGATCAAGCCGTACAGTGGCTCTAGTAGGGAGATGCTCCGTGCGTACTCTGTTTCGTTACTTTCCGTGCTGTTTGAATCTTCAAGTGAATTCTTTAGTCGTCTTCTTCTCCTCTTGTTGCCATCATGGATTATAATGTAGGTCGTTGGGTTTTAAATTAAAAAAAAAAACACACACTTTTTTATGAAGAATTTTTCATCGATATTCACTACACAATTTCATTTTTATTGAGCTATTTAACGTCAAGTTTATGAGCTACTGGATTTTTTATAGCATTCCAGCGCAATGTTGGAATTCTTTTTTCATTTGCTGTTTACTTTCGTTTTGTGCTTTTATTTTCGGATTCAGTTTTTCTTTTCATTTGATTTTGAGCCAAACAAAACAAAACGCGCTGATTGACTTTTTCGAATGATTTCGAATGATTGAATAATTTGCATTTTATGGCAAAAATTTCCGAGAATTTAATCCATTTTGATCGCTTATTTGAAACTAAAAACCAATCCAAATAAAAATTTCCAACTTTAATGTTTTCGATGCGTTTCTTTTTTTGCTTATTTCTCGATTTTCAAATGAACTCTACTGCCAATCAGATGCGGATGTCATCGAAAAAATATGATGAAATTTTAAGAGAAATAGAGAGAGAGAGAGAGAGAGAGAGAGAGAGATCTTTGATTCGCTCGATCGCTTGAAACCGGTCGTCTTGTGAATTCTTTTTGCCTGAAGCCATTTTCTTTCGACGCAATAGATACGCAACAAAGTTCATATTTTGCTTATGACAAACGCGATGCGTGATGTGATGATCTTAGAAGCTTAACTAATTGACCTCCCATAAGTAATGTGCGGCAAATGATCACTGCTTTAAAGAATTCAATTATGATTTGTGAATAAATTGGCAAATGGATTAGCGAATTTTCGTGATGGCAAAATTTAATGTCGAATAACAAATAACAAGGGGAATTACATCATTTGATATGAAAAAGTGACAGAAATAGCTAGAAATACATCTAGGAAATTTATAATGAAACTGAAACGCTTCTATTAATGCGATTTTATGTGGCAAATCTTTTATAAATAGCATAATCCATAAGATAACAAAGATTAAGCATCAATTTGGCAAATGAATGGAATAAAAGAGTTAATTAAATTGCGGCGCCGATTATCAACGTTTTTGTTTTTGTTTTTTTGGTCTTGGTGTCAATAATAATAATAGTAATGTAAAGTGCTTTTTAAAACGAAGAACGTCAATAAATGATGCGGATCGCATTGAACTTATCATTTTAAAATATCATTGACCTTAAGAAAAAATGCACCCATCTCAAGTGTACGACATAAAATAGAGGATTCACATAAACAATATAACTGATAAGACCGAATCCCCTCCTCCCATCGAATTCAATAAAACAGAATAATTAATTGCGTTGTTCGATCAATGCGGAATGGAATATTGGAGTTCAAAAAAGCCATGAAGGTGAACTGAGAGATATGGAATTCTTTTGTCTTGTCTGGTCGTATACAAACAACAAACAACTTGAGCGATCTACGATAAAAAGAAAACGAACATGTGAATAAAACACATGGAACGATAATTGAAAATGGCACTGTACATATTTGGAATGTGTCACTGCGCATTAATCATGCGAAACAAAAGAGAATTGATGGCCGATTCGATAACAAGTGTCCTGATGATTTACGGTTATGTTGAATGTTGTTGCAAGTAAAATTCGCTGCTGTGTCGGGTTATCTGTTGCATGAATTGTCCAACGTTTCATGACGGCACTTTTGATCGAGCTGACATCAAACGCTTCGAGATGCCAACCGAAAAATATAGAAAGAGAAAAAACAACAACTTGAGCCATTTTTTACGCGATGGAATTTTAAAATCCCATTAGCCACACTCATTTCACAAAGCATGGCATGCGACAAAATATTGACGGCGCCCAATATGCACCAATCAAACGAATGAGAGTGGTGACAGAGTGATCTAATAATCGACTTAACATTTGATAATTATTTCTTTTACACTGGAGCGGCCCCTTTGTCTCTTAAGCTGATCGTTGTTCGCATCGTTTGATGCTAAATCGTGAATTGGTATTAGCTGTTTTTTTTTCTTCGTCTTTCTTTTCATAACTGGGAGAGCAGTGAATAAATGCGGCGAATGAAAATCAACGGTGATTTTATAAACAGGGCCGAAGAAAATATTTATTTAAATAAAAAATATTTGATTAAATATTTTGGCGTTTTTTGAGAAAAAAATATTTATTTAAATAAAATATTTAAGTAAATATTTGGCCGTTTTTGCCTCTCAAAATCAATATTTTGAACAAAAATTCATTGGTCAAGTGATTTTAAATCATATTCTTTTCATACCACAAAGTCGATATGACACGAATATACTCAAATATAAAAGTTGCAGTCAAAACAAGTCAGCGCTATTGTTATTGTTTATGCCGAATTTAATTTGAAATGAATGAGATAAGAAGTACGTGAATTACAGATCGAATTGATTTCCCACTTGTAATATGTATTGAGTATTTTTGTTGTATAAGTTTTGATGTTTCGTTTGAACTCGCAAAATTCAGGATGCAGGCGATGCAAAATCGATAGGAAAGGCTCAAACCGCTATCGCAAAGCCGAAAAATTTGAAACGAGAATTGACTTTTATCAAGAACAACTTTTCTTGCATTGTCACAAACATCACAAATTATTGAAGCTCTTGAAACATTTGAATTTGTTCGCAACAATTTACAACAAATTCGTGGGAAATCGGGATTTCTTGACAAAGCTCGCAACAAGGGTTTTCAGAAATGAAAGAAATCTCAGTAATTTTGAGCACAGGAAAGAGCAACAAAAATGATGAATTTGTTGAATCATTAACACCGAACGAATTGAGTGCATTTAAATTAGCGCCAATAATATCTTGTGATGTCGAACGAACATTTTCGCGCCATAGGGCTGTATTGAGCGACAATCGTCGATCATTGTACAAAAATTTGAAAAAAATTGTTGTCGTATTTTGTAACCAGTTGCAATAGTGAAAAAGATATATCAATAAATAATTTATTCCAATAAATTCTTGAAAAAAGTATTGATTTTCATCTTAAATATTTTATATTTATCATAAATATTTTTCCGTTTTTTGAGATTTAGCCTAAATATTTCAGGCCTTTTTCTGAGATATTTAAATAAATATTTCGCCTGTTTAGCGTAAATATTTTCTTCGGCCCTGTTTATAAATATTTTCGCTTTCAGATGCAAATCAAGTGTAATAAATTAATTTTCAAAGCAATTATAACCACATAAACCTGTCTAAAATAATGACACTAAAACAATTGAAGGTAACGAAAGCAAAACAGAAGAGAGAAAAAAAAACACATTCCTTTGACAATTCAGTGGCCCAACAAAGACCATTAGACCATTTTATGATTTGTGTTTTTGTGCAACAAAGAATTTGGGCGTTGCTTTATTTTTGCTTTTTGTCTCTCACATATAATATGCGATCGATAAATCCTGAGCTACCGCACGCTTTGTTTAAACAGAGTGTAGCGTTTAGCTTATAACTCCTTCAGATGTCATGCAAATCGAATAAAATTGATTTAGATCCATCGTGACAATATCATGACCGAAACGGCAAATGTTCATTCGGTCGAATTGATTCATAAAATGCCAATGATTATGCAAAAAAAAACAACCAAAGTATTTAAAGGTGTATCAAGCGTATAATTCTTTTTAATATGAAAGGTGTATCGCCGTCATTAAATTTATATTATTAGATTGTGGCTTTGTTTATATGGGAATCGCAGAGGGCGTGCATAAGAAATTGAAAATTGTATCGACATTTTCGATGGAATTCTTCCGTCGATCAAAAACCAAACGTAGTAGTATCGATATCGATTCCGCGGCAAACAAATGTCAAACTTAATTTGAAGGCATGCGATTGAGAAGCACACAGTCCCTGGGAAAAACGACCACATCAATTCCATCCACATCAAAAACACACCATATTTTATTTACGTAATTTCAATTCACTATTCTATCCAATCGATATTCCATTCAAGTTTATTGCCATAAATTGTCTGGAGAAACATCAAGGCCCATTTGGGTTACCAACTGAATTCAGATTTAGTTCGAACGCTTTTGCTTGTGAAACATGATCTTGGCTATAAATTTTGTTTTCACAGTCACACACACACACACATAACGCAAGAATTGTCAATGAAATAGATCAAATCGTGAATTCCAGTCTCGGTGGAAAAGTGTTAGGCGGAAACAGCAGGAGATTCAGAATGTGACTCTATTAGTTGCCACATTTTGATTCATCACAATTTGAAAATGCTGAATGCTTTTCGTTGCTTTCATCTGCAATTTTTATTTCCTATTGTTGCGAAAATGGGATTTTTTCCAGAGATATAAATGCCATTCATTCAGTGCAATACGGAACAGCACTTTCACAATTTGATTAAATCAATTCCCCTTAATTCCTTTATAATTTCGCCAACCTAACGAGAGAGAGATGACGATGACATCGAGAACAATTGAAACCGAATGAACCGAATGCGATTGATGTTCCCAAGAAGACAAAAACGACATTAAATCACGGAACAATCCAAAGAAAGTGAAA